TGTAGAGCCATATCACACTGCTGCTCGTGTGATATTGCTCATATATTTATTTACTCACACACATGCTTATTAATACATTTTAATACGTTTTAGATTATTTATTGTATTTAAATTTGTTTTGGTAACTTAACTTTAGTAACCTCTCAGAAATAAAGGTGCACTTTTGTACCTAAAAGGTAAACTTTTGTATTTAAAAAGTCCCCCCGATACATAATGGTACCACAAGGTACACTTTTGTACTTTTTAGGTACTAATATGTACCTTGAAGTTGCAAATGTGGCCTTTAAATGTACCAAAATGTACCTTTTAAAAATGTACCAATTTGGTACCAAAAGTACCAATTCTGACTACTAACTAGTGTCTTATTACCTGCCTATTATTTAGATATCAAGTGTTTATTTGTACTAATAAAGTACATTGTCTACATGATCTACATCCCTAATCATACACAATACCTAAACCGAACTACTACCTTCATCATTTTTAATATACAGCAAATTAAGAGTTCTTTGAGGCAAAAGTCAAAATTAATGGTTTATTAGCACCCAAAGCTGTGCCTTAAAATGAAGTGTGAACGTTTCGTTTAATCTAACTTTATGTATTTGTTTTAATACAAGTTTGAAATGAAATTTTATTTTCTATTCATTTATTGTATTTAATTAAATCAATCATATTTTATAATTACGTTTCAGTAATAAAAATCAATTATTTCAATCTCTATATAGATCAGGCTAGGTATTTTCGAATTTACACCACGCAAAATAATAATCAGATGTATATTCTATTCTCAAAACATGTTAAACATTCTAAAATTATAAACTTTATATTCAATCTTTTAACATTGCATATTTAATATATTGTGTAATAACAAAAATTATGATTACACCAATGAACTACACATTTTCCAGTACTGCTTATTGCTGCAGCAGTGCTGGGTTAACACTCAAACAAAGCCTTGTGTAAGAGCACGAGAATTCAGGCCCCTGTAAAATCTTTGGTTTAGTGTGAGCTATTCAGCATGACGGTTGAGAGGCCCTTTACAGGCTGAAGCGCAGAGGCCCCTCCAGGTGAATTAAACTAGGTGTCTGTGTGTGAGATTGAGTATGTGTAACATTCCTAATTGTCTGAGCACAAAGAGACTTTGGACTGAACATTGAAAGTGAGCTACAACATATTATTAGCATGAAGTCTTTGCACACAAATCGGCCTTTGACTGAGCGCAAACACACAGTGAGCTCAGAGCGAGAGTGTTACTGACTCGTGCAATAACAGGTTTTGACGTGGCATACGTGCATGTGCTCACCTGCGAGGGATCAGTGCCAAACGCATGTAATCGCTCATACACCTGCCTGTACTGTAGCCGCGCACTCACACTGCCGTAACCGAATCAGCCTCCGGCAAGAGTTTTGTAGATTATAAGCTGCGATGCAACCTGGTGAAAATACAATGAAATATTATGACAAGACACACGCAATATGAACATACTGGTGAAAGAAAAGCAAAAACATACTGCACTGTAAATTAAACTGACAGCCTAATAAATTTGTACTGCACACTTTGTATGCAGTACTTGGGTATTATATTTTAGCTGTTTTTTATGTTCTAATAAAGTTTTGCTCTGCAACATATAGGATAACTGACCACTTGGGAGCCTTTCATCTCTTGCAATACATCTTGTTTATTTTGCTGGTGTACATTATTGGTCTTTAAGTGAACAATAAATCTGTGCAAGTTGATTCACTGAATAAAAAGGTTTGTTTTGATAATCTTTAATCAAAGTCTGACCATTTGCTTCCGAGTTTGGAGTGGTGGTCCTTCTTTGTTGACGTTTGTTTGATGGCATCAGCCACAGTATTCTTATGTGCAAATGATGTGCAAAAGAAAGCCTCAACCCTACTCCATATAACTTTCAGGAAGTACATCAACATACTAAAATAAGTCTCTGTAACTTCTAGTTTTTCAATCAAAGTCTGACCATTTGCTTTCACCTGGTTCCACAATTGTGTTTTTTTTTCTGTTGATGTTAACCTGAGGGCTTCCAACTCTATACATATCGCTAACACTTTATTTTGATGGTCATTATTGCACATTTTGTTGACTAAAAGTTGCATTGCAACTAACTACATACCAATTTCTTCTCATTTGAGTATTAGTAGACTGTCTGCTTAATATCTGCCGATTCTGCTCCTTCAACAGACATTTAACTGACTATAAAAAACTTTGCAAGTATATGTCAACTTACACTAACCCTAACCCCAATCTAACATTCATTCATTCATTTTCTTGTCGGCTTAGTCCCTTTATTAATCCGGGGTCGCCACAGCGGAATGAACTGCCAACTTATCCAGCAAGTTTTTACACAGCGGATGCCCTTCCAGCCACAACCCATCTCTGGGAAACATCCACACACACACTCATACACTATGGACTATTTAGCCTACCCAGTTCACCTGTACCACATGTCTTTGGATTGTGCACCCAGAGGAAACCCACGCGAAGGCAGGGAGGACATGCAAACTTCACACAGAAACGCCAACTGAACCGAGGTTCGAACCCACGACCCAGCGACCTTCTTGCTGTGAGGCTGACAGCCTACTGCACCACTACCTCACCCCCAACCTAACAGTCTACTTATAATCTAAAGAGAATAAGTTAGAATGTCAGACACAATGCACTCAATGGAGTGAGTGTCGTCACTGTGATGGATAGGGTTAGGGATGGGGCTAGGTGAGCGTTTTAAAAAGCATTGGATGCAGCACAGATTGCACTGCACCAGGTCTGCATCCAGACCCCTCTCCTATTTTAATATTTTAGCAGGATAATGTACCACCTAACAAAGCTCAAATAATCTCAAACTAGTTTCTTGAAGAAGATTCTAATAGAATAACAAATACGGTGCATCCCAATTCACATACTATCCGTCCTAAATTTATTCATTCATTTTCTTTTTGGCTTAGTCCCTCTATTAATCTGGGGTCACCACAGCGGAATAAACAGCCAATTTATCCAGCATATGTTTTTAGCAGCGGGTGCCCTTTCCAGCTGCAACCCATCTCTGGGAAACATCCATACTCACTCATTCACACTCAAACAGTACAGACAATTTAGCCTACCCAATTCACCTGTACCACATGTCTTTGGACTGTGGGGGAAACAGGAGCACCCGGAGGAAACCCACGCGAATGCAGGGAGAACATGCAAACTCACATGCAAACACAGAATTGCCAACTGACCCAGCCAAGGCTCTAACTGACCGTTCTTGCTGTGAGGCGACAGCACTACTTACTGCGCCACTGCGTCGCCCCCTGTCCTAAGTAGTATTTGAAAATAGAATTAGTATGTCCCAAATCGTATATGTTGAAAAGAGTATGCCAAACGATCACGGATGGTTTATTATTTCCAGAACTTTAACTTTAACCAAATACTTTAAGTGGAGATTGGAGAACCTTTCACACTCTAACCGCTAATATAACCCACAATGATTCGAACTACAAACGCAGGTGAAAAAATAAACTACAAACATGGCGGACACGCGAGACTGACCATCAAGTAGAGAGGCTTCGGTAAAGATGTTTGTATGACTGTTAAATAATATCTAGCCCACTGAAATAAACATTTAAACGTTTTCTGTGTTATATTTCATCTGCAACAACAAAACTGAATTTAGACATGTTTGAACATTAACGTGTAAATGCAGAATTATCCAAACACCTGAGGAGATTTCTCTTTATGAAAGAATGGGAGATTAACCTACTGCTGCTTCTCCAATAAGGTAGGAAATTAAATATGAAACAAATGTGGATGATGTGTGAATAATAACTGGCTCATAACTAAGCAACATAACGATTTGTTAATGAGAAAGTGGTATGTCCCAGAGATTGCATACTCTTCTGTTAAACACTCAAAAATGAATATTTTTTCTTCACTAATAAAGTAAATACTTTTAAGGGCGTAGTATGAGTATTAAGACGCAGCATTAGTAACTGAATGATGCAAATCAATATGCCCAGAGTAATGTTTCCAACACTGATGTATAAATAGGGCAAACCTAAAGTACTAGCAAGATCTACTCAATAAAGTGGATCCAGAATGTATATATTTGAAAAGACTAAAGACTTTAGATGAAAATGAATTGCAGTTCACTTTAGAGTGCATTTTTTTGTGTGATTTTACTTGAGTTGCATGTGCTATTAATTAACAGCATTTGGTTGCCACAAAGTTGGTGAAGGGACTGACAGACAGTTAGCAGAAGACGCAGAATGAGCCTGGAAAAGGTTTTCTGTTGGGTCATAAATCAGGAGCACCAAACAGAATTTAAAGTGACAGTTCACCCTATAACAAATATTCTGTGATCATTTACTTATCTGGAGGTACTCTATGGAACAAACTTGACTGAATGTCCTCTGTTAAACACAACAGGTCATACTTGTAGTGTTAGATCATTCAAAAAAATATTTTGCCGCTATTTACTCACCTTCATGTTTCTTTCTTCTGGTGAATACAAAAGAAGATATTTTGAAAAATGCTAGTAGCTGGTACTCTTTGACATTTGATTTTGAAGCTGAAGCGTGCCAACAACCAGCCTTCTTCAAAATGTCCTCTTTTGTGTGCAACAGAACATTTAAAAAACATACATATGAGGGAGAGTGAATGAAGAGGCGGTTTTCCTGAACTATCCCTTTAAGAATGTCTCAATGAAACATTCAAAGAAAGTCAATTGGGTGCAGTTTTGTATTAGACCCCATTGACTTTCATTATCATTGGACAAAAAGGTACATGTTGGTGATTTAGTGTACTGTTGGGAAGAGGAGGTTGCAGAGGTCAGAACATGTGCTGGGCGACTGCTGGGTGTCTGTCACTGCTCATGATAAGCCCGATGGACGGGTCTGGCACACTGCAGAAGTACAGGAGATTAGACATAATACAGGCGGCCCAACACAGACAAGAAAGCGTGTCAGCAGAAGTTGGCTTCTTACACCGGTCAGAGATAAATTGAGCTGTTGGTAGGTGTCCCTGATCCTGGATCAGTCGAATGCGGACTCCTACCTTGTGCCGTTGAAAGATGGAGTCTTTCCTTTCTCTGTAAGAATAATCTGTGTATGAATGAGAATGAATGATGAGCAGCAGGATGAGGATCAGCAGAGCTCTCCCACACAGCGCTCGGAGACATTCTGTCCTGGACAATTATTTCTGAGTCCACTCCCTACATCCGCGGGGTGACCGTGCTGGACGGGTTTTACCTCTGACCCCGGGGGGACGCAGTAGGAGGCTCAATAAAGCTAGTCATTGCTGCATACAAATCACACAATGGAGAATGGGAGACTTAAATATGGAGCAGAGAGGTAATAACTGGACTTGCCTCTGGGCTTGCAGATTTATCCTTCTGTGTGTCTGTGAGTGTATGGATGTTTTTCTATAGAGACATTTTGGCTCTGTGGAACAAAGAAGAAGAAATTAAGCATGTTTTTCAAACACAAAGATTTATGAACTTTAAAGAACAAATCCCATTTGCACCAAATAATATCTTTTGTGTTGGAAATTCTTTGTTTTGATAAAGCTAATGATATAGCTAAATACATAAAAATCAAGTTCTGTTTTGACTTTTTTTTTGTTGCTAAACTGGACAAAATACAGCAAAATCACAAATTTACTGGATTTAAGAAAATGCAAACTTCCTACAAATTTTATGAAAGTTTAAAAAAAAAAATTTAACCATCATTATGTCAAAGATGCATTTTCATATTTTAAGAGTGGGGCTGTTAACAAAATAAAATAATTTTTTATTCATCATAATTTTAACCTAAACAGATTATATTTGCACATTTTTCTTTTTTAATTGACCTCATAATTTTGAATTAAGATATCATAACGTTCCAGTGGAACAACATGTCTGGTGGCATACCATCACCTTGGAATTATAAGGTTCTCTCTGCGTTCTAAATAGTTTTGACATATTGAGCTTTAAAGTTTTCCATACAGCATTCCATACAGCAAACAATTTGTTTTTAACAGTTCTCTTTCATACATTAACATGACAGAGACCCTAATTGTACTCTAAACGTAAATGATCAAAATTAGCTTAAATTTGCAAGTTGGGGTAAAAAAACAGGGTAATGCAGATAGAATCTTATCATTCTAAAAAGGCATTTTCCGCTTGGAATTATAAGGTTCTATCTGACAGATCATTAATTGAAGCATTATTTTTCAACAAATACAATCAGTTTGCTTATTAATTTAATGAAAATAAAAGTTGGTGTTATAACAATATACTGATGTATGATAAAGTAAAATGTTTGCTTTGTAAACCTTTTTTAATGTTTTAGGATTAACATTTTCTCTTGTTGAAATTAAGCAAGGCTGTGCTAAATATTTTTTTTTCCGGTGCAGATGTTAATTTTATGTAATTAATATGTTTTTTTTTAATTGAATTATATGCTTTGTATGATTTATTGAATTATATTTATTGAATTATATGCCCCATTAATTAAATTAAGCAATTGCTCTTCGAGGCTTAATATCAAATATAAAGACTTTAAAAGAAAACAGACAATGAGCAAACGAGTTGTTTAACAAAGTTTTTTTAATAAAACTGTTTCTTTTTCAACAATATAATATTTTGATCTCAATGTCAAAAATGCTTCTAAATCGCTCTAATTTTGTTTTTTCTGTTTTTTCCCACGAAATGACAAAAAAGCTTATTGGTCCTTGTGTGTGCATTAAAAATGCTGATTATCTCACAGAAGATAATTCTATAGGGCCAAGCTAGAGTTTGACTTTGTAGATAAAACCTTTTTAAGTAAAAGTCTTAAAATGTAAACGACTTATACAAAAACAAAACAAAAAAAAACGCTTAATGTGAATAAGTGGTCATTTAATAAGAATAACTCAGTTTTGACAAAAATGTCAGATATAACCTTATAATTTAAGGTGACAATATGCCAAAGTCTCCACACTGTAAAAAATGATATGGTCAGAAAGTCATTACAGCATGTTTTTATGTAGGTTGAACTACTTTAAGGTAATACGTATTCAAATGTATTTATTTTTAATTACACAAAAATACTTTAAGTTTTGAATTTTTCATATCAATTCAACTGATGTTAGTTAAAATGACAAATAAAGTTAATTGCATTCAACTTTAAAAAAATTAGGGCAGATGTTTTTTACAGTGCAGGTTTGTGAAAAATATCCTGTTTAAACATGATTCATGGTATATTACGCGTTCAGTCTATATGCATGTGTGAGTGCAAGCAAAACAAGGATGGACTGTAGCACTGCATGTGCACAGGCACATAGTGTTTCTTTGCAAAATTACATCACCAACTAACCTGGTTTGCAGTGTTTTAGATGTGACCAGCAATCGTTTTGATAATGTTGTCATCTGTTTGTGAAACTTTTTCAAAATACAGGGGCAAAATGTGAGCAGTTTTAGTATGTTACAAAGAATATTGTCACTTCCATTACATACTGTTCCATTACATCACGTTCCATTACATACTGTATATAATAGTGCACAGCATATGTGAGTGCAGGCAGCCTATTTTGAAAATAAACATTTATATTCCTTTCATAGAGAATATAGATAATATATTTTGGTTCAATTAAAAACATTTCAGTTTTATTAAACAGTTATATATTTATTTTAATAAGAGTGTGGTCACCAAACAAACTTTAGGAATAGAAAGATAATACCTTTATATTCAAATAAAATATTGTAAAAATACAAACTACAAGTTTTCAACTACATTTGACTTTTTCTTTGTTTCTTTTGATTTTTTTCCTCTTTATTAAAATTTGATTAATGTTTTTCCCTGACATATTAATTCGGGAGTACTCATTTTTGAACTGATACTTTAATTATTTTGTTAGATTAGCTGCAGATTTGGCTTTGGTACTGACTAATGTATATGCACAAATATAATAATGCGATGCATCCTAGAAAGTATTACATTTACAGATAAAACATAAAAGAGACTGTAGTAGTTTTTTGGAGGGGGGGGGGGGTTCATGTGTTGGTCAAAATTTCTTATTCAATAATAATAATAACTATGGCAACATTCAAAACCTAAACATTTACTCATTAATGGCAAGTTGCTGATCAGACACATGGTTTTAGCGGAAACATATTATCTTATGACTTTTATATAAAATAAAGATTCATCATAATTATGTGAAAATAGTATACAGATGCATTATGATGTATACAGATGAATTAAATAATAGGAATGAAATATTGATTGGAGTTTAAATTATTATTGGAGAAGTTAGAGACTTTGAGATGTTAGTACAGTAGAGGTGACTGACTGCCAGTACAATGATCAATTGTACGGTTGAGACATCATTATGCAAAAATAAAAATTTGCATTCACATGAAATGCTTCGATCGACCAATCAGAATCCAGTCTTCCAGAGAACTTCTACTTTATAAATAAAACAGAAGTCACAGAGGCTCTGTGACTGAGGCGCCATATCTATTGATGACTGTGGCTATAATGCAAACACACTTGATTGAGTTGACAGAGAAACACAGACATTGGATGACTAATGGGAGAAAGATAAACAGTGACAGAAAATACAGACAAGGTAAAGAGATAATGACTGGCCCCCGGTAGACCTGATAAAAATGTGTGGATGACTTCACTTCCCGGCTCTACGTTCAGAAGGCTTGCAAACAGACAGGGGTCAGGCGAGGGCAGTGGCTAAGGCTATTCCATCCTGGCCTGTCTTAACGGCTGGGAATCTGGCCTGCTGACCCTTCTCGTGTAGCGCTGCAGGGGAGGGTGTCTGATCCTGACCTCTGACTCCTCAGCTGGTCCTCTCTTCCAAAAGGAATCAATTTCTTGAGTCAGTTCTGCGCAAATCATACCACATTGCAGGAGTCAGATTACAAGCAGGAAAAACATCAAATGCGTGGTATGACGTGTTTTTACCAACAAAACGGCCTTTGAACTCGTTATATTCACAGACAGACTCATGTGTGTTTGATGGAATTTAGAAATGTACGAAATTTTGAAGTTACTGCTTGCTTTACACTTAAATTAAAGCCATTTTTTGGCATATTTCATGAGTCTGTGTGAATTTGCTGAGACTTTATTTCAGTATGTTAATGTACTTCCAACTGAAACGTAATATCGAGAAAGAGGTGGAGTTTTCTCCGGGGCGGGGTTAAGAATACTATGGCTGAAGCTGTCTAACTGAGAAGGATCGCCACTCTGAATGTGGAAGCAAATGGTCAATCTTTGATTAAAGATTACCAAAACTAACTTTTTTTGTGAATTAACATCCATGGATTTTAACAGAAAGAATAACAATGTAAGCAAAATAAACATTGTAAATTTTGATTTAACATGGAGCTTAAATCTATTTTGAAAAACATCATAATAACTAATATATATATATATATATATTTGAAAAACTCATCAAAATTTTTATTGGTGACGAATACTTAAATTACTTAATCATCTGTAAAAATGTATTTAATTGGAAGCCAAACTTTCCAAATTTCACTTACATTACAGCATGGAGACACCTCTTAATGTGACAAATCCTCTGACAGCAGGTTCTCCAGATGAAGGACCATTACAAGGCAAGCTGATTTCCAGAAAACTGTGTATTTGCAACGTCTCTAACTCATTCAAGTCCCCCTAAAGGCAAATGCATGAGAGAACTGGACAGTGCAGAAAATCTGATGAAGCAATCTGACTAAGCGCACACTGAAATTGCTCACCGCTTGGAAATAGTATGTTTGTAGTAGTTAGTGTGTTAAACAGAGAAAAGACTGAACCCAAAGTATAAAACGAAGTCAGTGGAGGAAGAAGAGTCTTGTTTGACGATGTTTTATGCAGCAGGAGTTGTTTATCAGAAGCTTCTTCTGCAACAAACAGGTCCTTCTTTGCTATCATCAACCAGTCAGACATTTTTTTGACAATGAGCAACCTGTCACACGCCTTAAAGGTAAAGCAGTTCCTGGAAGCTGAAACAATGAAATGATAAAACAGCCAGCCCAGAATCCTGAACTAAACCTGATTGAGTATCTCTGGATACTAAGTATCTCTGGAAAGTATTTCTTAAAACTTTCCAGTTTTCACTTAAATTGCACACATTGAGAGACCTTTTAATGTGACTGAAATCCTCAGACAGCAGGTTCTCCAGATGAAGGTCAAAGTAATGACACTTTTGACCATTACAAGACAAGCTGATTAAGAATTTTACAAAACTGCCACCTTGCAATGTCTATAACTTATTCAAGTCTCCCTAAAGGCAAATGCATGAGAGAAAAGGACAACGCAGAGAATCTGATTAAGCAATCTGCCTACGTGCACACTGAAATTGCTCACCAGTG